GTAGTGACAACCCGCCTACTAGCTACTGTAGTGACAACCCGCCTACTAGCTACTGCAGTGACAACCCGCCTACTAGCTACTGCAGTGACAACCCGCCTACTAGCTACTGTAGTGACAACTCAGCTACTAGCTACTGTAGTGACAACCCACCTACTAGCTACTGTAGTGACAACCCACCTACTAGCTACTGTAGTGACAACCCGCCTACTAGCTACTGTAGTGACAACTCGCCTACTAGCTAGTGTAGTGACAACCCGCCTACTAGCTACTGCAGTGACAACCCGCCTACTAGCTACTGTAGTGACAACCCACCTACTAGCTACTGTAGTGACAACTCGCCTACTAGCTAGTGTAGTGACAACCCGCCTACTAGCTACTGCAGTGACAACCCGCCTACTAGCTACTGTAGTGACAACCCACCTACTAGCTACTGTAGTGACAACTCGCCTACTAGCTACTGTAGTGACAACCCGCCTACTAGCTACTGCAGTGATAACCCGCCTACTAGCTACTGTAGTGACAACCCACCTACTAGCTACTGTAGTGACAACTCACCTACTAGCTACTGTAGTGACAACCCACCTACTAGCTACTGTAGTGACAACTCGCCTACTAGCTACTGTAGTGACAACTTGCCTACTAGCTACTGTAGTGACAACCCGCCTACTAGCTACTGCAGTGACAACCCGCCTACTAGCTACTGCAGTGACAAACCCACTACTAGCTACTGTAGTGACAACCCACCTACTAGCTACTGTAGTGACAACCCACTACTAGCTACTGTAGTGACAACCCACCTACTAGCTACTGTAGTGACAACCCGCCTACTAGCTACTGCAGTGACAACCCGCCTACTAGCTACTGTAGTGACAACCCGCCTACTAGCTACTGTAGTGACAACCCGCCTACTAGCTACTGCAGTGACAACCCGCCTACTAGCTACTGTAGTGACAACTCGCCTACTAGCTACTGTAGTGACAACCCGCCTACTAGCTACTGCAGTGACAACCCGCCTACTAGCTACTGTAGTGACAACCCACCTACTAGCTACTGTAGTGACAACCCACCTACTAGCTACTGTAGTGACAACCCGCCTACTAGCTACTGCAGTGACAACCCGCCTACTAGCTACTGTAGTGACAACCCCGCCTACTAGCTACTGTAGTGACAACTCGCCTACTAGCTACTGTAGTGACAACCCGCCTACTAGCTACTGTAGTGACAAACCCGCCTACTAGCTACTGTAGTGACCAACCCGCCTACTAGCTACTGCAGTGACAACCCGCCTACTAGCTACTGTAGTGACAAACTCGCCTACTAGCTACTGTAGTGACAACCCGCCCTACTAGCTACTGTAGTGACAACCCACCTACTAGCTACTGTAGTGACCAACCCGCCTACTAGCTACTGTAGTGACAACTCGCCTACTAGCTACTGTAGTGACAACCCACCTACTAGCTACTGTAGTGACAACCCACCTACTAGCTACTGTAGTGACAACCCACCTACTAGCTACTGTAGTGACAACTCGCCCTACTAGCTACTGTAGTGACAACTCGCCTACTAGCTACTGTAGTGACAACTCGCCTACTAGCTACTGTAGTGACAACCCGGCCCTACTAGCTACTGTAGTGACAACCCGCCTACTAGCTACTGTAGTGACAACTCACCTACTAGGCTACTGTAGTGACAACTCGCCTACTAGCTACTGTAGTGACAACTCACTCCCTAATAGCTACTGTAGTGACAACCCGCCTACTAGCTACTGTAGTGACAACCCGCCTACTAGCTACTGTTAGTGACAACCCACCTACTAGCTACTGTAGTGACAACCTCACCTACTAGCTACTGTAGTGACAACCCGCCTACTAGCTACTGTAGTGACAACCCGCCTACTAGCTACTGTAGTGACAACCCGCCTACTAGCTACTGTAGTGACAACTCGCCTACTAGCTACTGTAGTGACAACCCGCCTACTAGCTACTGTAGTGACAACTCACCTACTAGCTACTGTAGTGACAACTCACCTACTAGCTACTGTAGTGACAACCCGCCTACTAGCTACTGTAGTGACAACCCACCTACTAGCTACTGTAGTGACAACTCGCCTACTAGCTACTGTTAGTGACAACCCACCTACTAGCTACTGTAGTGACAACCTCCACCTACTAGCTACTGTAGTGACAACCCGCCTACTAGCTACTGTAGTGACAAACCCGCCTACTAGCTACTGTAGTGACAACTCCGCCTACTAGCTACTGTAGTGACAACTCAGCCTACTAGCTACTGTAGTGACAACCCCCTACTAGCTACTGTAGTGACAAACCCCCTACTAGCTACTGCAGTGACACCCCCCTACTAGCTACTGTAGTGACAACCGCCTACTAGCTACTGTAGTGACAACCCACCTACTAGCTACTGCAGTGACAACCCGCCTACTAGCTACTGTAGTGACAACCCGCCTACTAGCTACTGTAGTGACAACCCACCTACTAGCTACTGCAGTGACAACTCGCCTACTAGCTACTGCAGTGACAACCCACCTACTAGCTACTGTAGTGACAACCCGCCTACTAGCTACTGTAGTGACAACTCGCCTACTAGCTACTGTAGTGACAACCCACCTACTGCAGTGACAACCCGCCTACTAGCTACTGTAGTGACAACTCGCCTACTAGCTACTGTAGTGACAACCCACCTACTAGCTACTGCAGTGACAACCCGCCTACTAGCTACTGTAGTGACAACCACCTACTAGCTACTGCAGTGACAACCCGCCTACTAGCTACTCCTACTAGCTACTGCAGTGACAACCCACCTACTAGCTACTGTAGTGACAACTCGCCTACTAGCTACTGTAGTGACAACCCACCTACTAGCTACTGCAGTGACAACCCGCCTACTAGCTACTGTAGTGACAACCCACCTACTAGCTACTGTAGTGACAACCCGCCTACTAGCTACTGTAGTGACAACCCACCTACTAGCTACTGCAGTGACAACCCGCCTACTAGCTACTGTAGTGACAACCCGCCTACTAGCTACTGTTAGTGACAACCCCACCTACTAGCTACTGCAGTGACAACCCGCCTACTAGCTACTGTAGTGACAACCCACCTACTAGCTACTGTAGTGACAACTCGCCTACTAGCTACTGTAGTGACAACTCGCCTACTAGCTACTGTAGTGACAACCCGCCTACTAGCTACTGCAGTGACAACTCACCTACTAGCTACTGTAGTGACAACCCACCTACTAGCTACTGTAGTGACAACCCACCTACTAGCTACTGTAGTGACAACCCGCCTACTAGCTACTGTAGTGACAACTCACCTACTAGCTACTGTAGTGACAACCCACCTACTAGCTACTGTAGTGACAACCCGCCTACTAGCTACGGTAGTGACAACTCACCTACTAGCTACTGTAGTGACAACCCACCTACTAGCTACTGTAGTGACAACTCACCTACTAGCTACTGTAGTGACAACCCACCTACTAGCTACTGTAGTGACAACCCGCCTACTAGCTACTGTAGTGACAACTCACCTACTAGCTACTGTAGTGACAACCCACCTACTAGCTACTGTAGTGACAACCCGCCTACTAGCTACTGTAGTGACAACTCACCTACTAGCTACTGTAGTGACAACCCACCTACTAGCTACTGTAGTGACAACCCACCTACTAGCTACTGTAGTGACAACTCACCTACTAGCTACTGTAGTGACAACCCACCTACTAGCTACTGTAGTGACAACTCACCTACTAGCTACTGTAGTGACAACCCGCCTACTAGCTACTGTAGTGACAACCCCCCTACTAGCTACTGTAGTGACAACCCACCTACTAGCTACTGTAGTGACAACCCACCTACTAGCTACTGTAGTGACAACTCACCTACTAGCTACTGTAGTGACAACCCACCTACTAGCTACTGTAGTGACAACCCGCCTACTAGCTACTGTAGTGACAACCCACCAACTAGCTACTGTAGTGACAACCCACCTACTAGCTACTGTAGTGACAACTCACCTACTAGCTACTGTAGTGACAACTCACCTACTAGCTACTGTAGTGACAACCCACCTACTAGCTACTGTAGTGACAACTCACCTACTAGCTACTGTAGTGACAACTCACCTACTAGCTACTGTAGTGACAACCCACCTACTAGATACTGTAGTGACAACACGCCTACTAGCTACTGTAGTGACAACCCGCCTACTAGCTACTGTAGTGACAACTCACCTACTAGCTACTGTAGTGACAACTCACCTACTAGCTACTGTAGTGACAACCCACCTACTAGCTACTGTAGAGACAACCCACTTACTAGCTACTGTAGTGACAACCCGCCTACTAGCTACTGTAGTGACAACTCGCCTACTAGCTACTGTAGTGACAACCCACCTACTAGCTACTGTAGTGACAACTCGCCTACTAGCTACTGTAGTGACAACCCGCCTACTAGCTACTGTAGTGACAACTCACCTACTAGCTACTATAGTGACAACCCACCTACTAGCTACTGTATAAAGGCCTTGGGGCTATGTTGTTTGATTTAATTAAACACAATATATGCACTCACCTATGCTGTTGTAGTATTTACTGTATCTGAAGCTCTTAATATGATTGCTCATATTTCAAGCCATCTTTTTCCCGGCCCCTTGCTTTGGATCATTTTCATCAACCGGCCCCATTCCAAACTAATTGAATAGCCCTGATGTAGTGTTTTAACAAAAGTTAGTAACTTTAAAAAGGTTCAGTTACAAGCAGTTACAATAGGCAAGCTATTAGCATGTTAGAAAGACCAACCAGGACATGTTTCCCCATATAATAGTCTGAAAAGATAAAAAGAAATATCCGGAGCGCTGTGAGCTTTCTCCATGTTTAAACTGATGCAAAACAAACCAAAATATGAATGTGTTTTGGAAAACGTGTTTAATCAACACGTTTTAAATGATTGAAACTACCATGGTTCACCGTAACATCCCTACCTGGAAACGCCTGCTGGTAGTGTGGAGGAACGCCAGGCTGGGGGGGCATGTATCCGTGCTGGTACCCCTGCTGAGCCTGCATATGAGGGTGGGGTCCAGGAACAAGTCCCGGCCCGGGCTGGTACCCCTGAGGCAGCGGCTGCCCCATGGCCTGAGGGTACGGCTGCTTCTGCTGGGGTTGTTGTTGGGGTTGTTGGGTGTGGGGATGTTGGGGGTGGGGATGTTGGGGATGGGGATGTTGGGGTTGGGGGGCGCCATGAATGGGCATTCCTGGTCGAGCCATAAACTGGGGATACCCCCCCATCTGTGGAGGGACAGCGTAGCCAGTGGATGCTGCAGGGTGGCCAGGGTGGTGCGGGGTATGGGCGTAGCTGGGGATGGGGGCCTGGATACTGTCCACTGTGGTGGTGGAGGGTCTGACCGGGGCGGGGGCTACCAGGCCGGGCTGTGGGGCGTGAGGGTGGGGCGGGCGATAACCTGGTAACTGAGGAGGCATCTGAGGAGCCATGTGAGGGAGGGGGCCGCGGGGGAGCTGTGGCGCTAATCCAGAAGTAGGAAACTGTGCTATCCGGGCCAGCAGCTCGGGGGGGGGCAGGTTAGCGGGGAAGCGCGGTCCAGGCCAGGGGAGGGAGCCTGGACCCAGGTGAGCTCCGGGGGGGCGGTAGTGTTCGTGCCCGGGGGGGAGGGAAGGGATGTCGGGAGGGAGGCTGCGCAGCTCCTCAGGAAGGTCGCCCCCCAGAGCCAAGATGGCGGCGCTCAGCTGGGCCAGCTCCGGGTCGTCCAGGCTGGAGCAGGCGGAGTCTCCGTCTGAAGACCTCGCCTGCAGGGAGGGCTTTGCTGCTGTGGGCCGGGCAGGGGGCTTCTTCTGGGTCTCTCTGAGGGGGGGGCGGGAGACAAACATTTTATAATTTAGGCGATGATACATTTCTCTGTCCCTTCTCCTGAAAAACAACTGGCAGAACAGCTTTTATGTTCACAGCTCCAGCAGCTTGGAATGATTAAATATATATATGCCGTTAATAACTGTGCAATGTATACCTGGCTGCTACATCTTCAGAACTGTTACAGGACATGTATTTTGTAAATTGTAATTAAAAAAAGTTAGCTAACATTAAGCTGTATTTGGCTCTTTTCTGATTCACCGGTTGGGATTAGATGCATTCCACCAATCACACTATTATTAATAGAGCGTTCACTGTGTATTATAGCTTTACAACTAATCTATATTTTTCATTGTACATAAATATATTGCCCATACATTTATTGTTGAATCAATTCATATTTGAAACTCTAATTAAAACATTGTTTATTTACACATATTATTACTATCTATCTATCTATCTGTCTATCTACCTGTCTGTAGCTATGTACGAATGACAACAAAAGCCTTGAAACTTGAAACTAAAGTTATCCTCACTTCTCCAGGAGGGGCCTCCTCTCCTCGGCCCGGGTCTGAGCCAGGATCTTGGCTCTCTCCAGCAGACGGGAGGCTTTGTCCTCCAGGTCCTCGTAGAACTCCTTCCCCTCTTGAGACTTCTTCATCAGGTCCTCGTAGGCCTCGTAGGACCCCACCAGCCCCTGCACCGTGCCGTTCCACTGCTGCTCCGTCTGGCTGAGCCCCTTCCTCACCGAGGCGTACTGCACGTTGGCCTCCGTCAGCGCCTTCAGGATGTTCTCCTGCGCCGCCAGGTTCTGATCCAGGTACACCTTCACCTGCTCGTACTTCTTCAGCTGATCCTCGAATGTACGCTGCAAGGACACGGGTCAGTTAGACGTCTCAGATATTTCACTGCTGTATAGAAAGGTTCGAAGCTTCATTCAATAGTTAAAATAGAATTCTAAATCAAATCATTGGAATTTCTGCACAGTCACAATCTTGTTATTCTGTTTAACACTAGAACCGCCAGAGGTCGCTGTATACCTAAAACCGCCAATGGGTCAAATATACCCGCTATTGATTTTCAAGGTACAATGTTCTTTTATTTGTCATGAGTTTTGATCGCACAGGGATGGAACTTATACTAATAGAATCTGTGGACTCTCAGCTTTTCATACGATATCGTTTGTGCAGATAGCATGAAGTATAAAATATCGCTAAGAGTGCTGATTTAAAACGCTTGGTGTTAGACTTGTGTTTTGTTTAGGTACAAATCTCTCTATCTATCTATATCTCAATCTATCTCTCTAGCTATCTAACCGCAGTAGACAAAAGGCGTTGCTATAGCAACACGTCATGTTTACGCTGCATTTTCTATGAGGTAAATGGCGGATATAGGTATAAATGGAATTTTTTTTGGCTTTTTTTTTCAATCTGACTTCATATTGACCATTTTTAACAACAGAGGGTGCTACATAACACACTTTCAGGAAAAGTCACGGACTGGGAGACTTTAATATTTTATTGAAAAAAAGTTCAACCGCCAAGTTGACACGTTGGCGGTTCTAGTGTGAAAGCAGGTATTTCTGCACTGTTTCTAATAAGGATGTTTTTGTATTATACAATTTTAGAATTAGATTCCAATGGTGGCTGCATAGGAATTTTTACGATCAGTACTTTTCCTTTTTGCGCGTTTTGAAACGCGTAACTTAATTTGAAACCTGAGTAAAAGCTTTGGATGTCATTTTTTTTTTTTTATAAATTCAGTCCAGCCCTACATATGTTATAAAAGCAATTCTGTACTTCAGCCAAAAACGTACCCACTTAAAACCCACTGAATAAAGCAATGTAAGCATGCCTTGAATCAGTTTGGGTTAACTCTTTTACTTATTAAGTTACATTCAGCACGTGTTGTGTAAGCTTCAGGGACCACGTGCAGCTGCGTACCCTCATGTCGGCCCTCTCCGTGGTGACCAGGGTGGAGGTGATGTCGTCCTGCTGGATGAGGTCTCGGAGCTGCTTCTCTAGAGAGCCTCTCTGCTCCCTCATCTCATGCACCTTCCCCAGGATCCGCTTCATGCACTGCAGCCCCGCCACTTCCTCTGTGTGCACACGCACACACACACACACACACACAC